GGGAGCCCGATGTGGGGCTCGATCCCAGGACCCTGGGATCATGACCTGAGCCGAAGGCAGATGCTTAATGACTGAGCCACCCAGGCGCCCCCAAACTTCAAATGTTTTAAGATTCTCACCGCTATATTCATTACATTAATATTTTTTCTGATGTGTTTTTATCTGATGTTATCAGAATCATGATGGCTTTAGAGAATGAACGTGATATAATCTTTTTCAGTATGTCTGAACTAGTTTGTGACATTGAAAAAAATGTGTAACATTGAAGAATTAATCCCTAAATTCCCCAGCTTAACTGTTTTTTTGGGGTGGGGGGAGTTAACCTAAATGTCTTTACAATTCATCACATTGTCTACCTATTATCTCAAATTTATAAAAAAGCATTCCCTTTCATTCAGTGTTTAATGATTTTACATCAATGTGTCCTAACCTCTATTTTTTTTAATTTTAGGTAGGCTCCAAGTCCAAACATGGGGCTCGATCCCTGAAATCTAGAGTTCCACGTTCTACCGACAGAGCCAGCCAGGTGCCCTGACCTCTCACTATTTTTAACTAGCATGTTCCTGGGTCCATCATCTTTTCTCCATCATGAGCTTCCACGTTTGGGTGTCACCTTGTGTATTCTCTGGCTCACTCATTCACTTCTCTGCCAATGCAGCTGAGATTTACCATTTCCAACAATGCTCTTTATCCTGTCCGTTCTGGTTTTCAATCCATTATCTCCTTGGTAGCACAATGCAGATTCTCACATCTCAATGAAAAATGGTAACATCCCTTCCTACCTTCTCCCTGCACTGCACAGGGGTCCATGTTTGAACACAGGATCTCTCTGAAAATATTAACCACAAAGTCTTACATGCTTTTACTCTTTCCGAATCAGAATCCCTAGGGCTAGGGACTAGGAAATTATGTTTTCAAAATTTCCCAGGTATTTCTTAGGCACTTGAGGCCCTGCTCTGTCCCAAACAGTTCTCTTCTGGCTCCCTACATCAGAGTCACTAGAAGACAGATTTAATTGCCTAGAGTAGAGCCCGGCTCATGCTGACTCTCATCAACCTCTGTCCCCGGACTCAGGCTGAAAATTTGGACCCCAGGTCCCTTTGTCTAGCCTTGACACCTCTCCTCACCTTTATTTATTTTTTTCCTTGTTTGGTTTTCAGGAATTTTATGAGCTGGCTTTTAAATATTGAAAGTTAAAAAAAAAATAGGGACTCCTGGGTTGCTCAGTCGCTTAAGCGTCTGCCTTCGACTCAGGTCATGATCCCAGGGTCCTGGGATTGAGTCCCTCATCAGGCTCCTTGCTCAGCAGGAAGCCTGCTTCTCCCCCTGCCTGCCACTCCCCCTACTT